TCTCTCTCTCTCTCTCTCTCTCTCTCTCTCTCTCTCTCTCTCTCTTTCTCCCTCACCCCACTCGGTTCATCACTCTCTTGCTGGCTTATTTTTCATTGGTTAGCGTATAGTATTGACTTCCACGCCACTGGATAACGGTACATAGTGAGCTCGGCTTGCCTTACCACTGGATGATCCCCCACCGACATTACAACTAAGGCTCTTGACAAGGACGGAGGAGCCCCCAGCCGCATATATGGACAAGGACGGTTCAAATGATTCTCTTCTCCCAGACTCTGTTGAAATGATCCGGTGGTAGCAGTCAATTTTTTAGTGTGAAACATTTGCATGATTCTCATGATGAGAATAACCCCTACCACATCCGCATCCTTCCACTTTCTTAACAATTGTGACTTCCTTTGAATTTCCAAACATTTCGTATTTCTTTTCATTTCTGGTAATAATATAATTGGCATGTTGGACACATACATTTTCGACTCCTTAAAGACCAGCTATTGTGTTTGATTGGACAGAGACGTTAGACCGAGCTCCGAGTGGCTGTACAGTGTGCTACTAACCCAGTTAGCCGAAGCGGGCCTCTTTTTCTCCTTCTACTTTTTCCCATCTAGGCAATGATTTTTTTCTTCTTCCTCTGTAACTGGAATAAAAATTGTTGCAGGTCCTCGCGGCGCCGTTGGCGGTTGCAGCACCCCCGGCAGTAGAGTGGATCCCTGGTGGAATCCTGGTCCCCTCTTCCCATCAGCCACGACGCCAGGACCACCAAGGATCGACGAGGGGCCTCCAGGAACTCACAGCAGCATCAGCAATACCACCAATAATCCATATCTGTCGTCTCCCTCACCATATCACAGCACCACCACCACCACCTCCACCGCCGCCACCAACAGCAACAACAATAACAACGACCATCAGCAGACAAATAGAAACTTGACGTCACCGTACAGTGTCGCCTCGGCGACGAGTCCGTCTACCTCATCGCCAACCTTTGGCCAGGTGGACTCGTTGTCAAGGTGTTCGGATGCTGTAGGAACAAATCCAAACAATTCAAATCTGTCTGAGAACGTGCTGTCCAATCTGCTGGCCCCCAAATCATCAGATTCCTCGCACTTGGGCCCCCAAGGTGTCGAGCACACTGTACAATCGAACGGTACAGTATTAGCAACTTTATTATCAACGACATCAAGCAGTTTAGAATATACACCATCTCCCAATTCGACAACGGGATCGTCGGCAATAAGAAACCCCCAGGCTAGTAATATCGCGGTTGCCGTCTCATCGCCCTCCTCATCCACCTCATCGCGTGATTCTTTGACTGGTATATTATCTTCATTGAACGTCAAAATCAAGTCAGAGGATCAATCACGTCGTGAAGAGTCCTCGGGCTTTTGCACATCGTTATTAAGCTCACTTCTGTCAACCTCGCGCATCTCAACAACGAGAAATCTCGAGGAGTCTGCAGATCAGCAGATTGAGGAAGCGAGTATAAAAGTTGAGTATTCGCTGAGTGCAACATCGCCGTGCAGCAACGTATTAGAAGCCTCTGAAGAGGATCTCGTTGCAACGTCGCCATACGATATCATCAGCACAAGTGCGAGGTGTATAAAGCAGTCAGCTGGAGGCTGTCGCAGTCAAGTCTCACCGACATCTGAAATTGCGATAGAAATGAAGTACGAAACGCAGACGGGTCCCCCACCGGGGCCACCGCATTTAACGTCGACGGGAGTTGAGCCGCCACACAGCAGCCAAGGGAGTGGAATGGTGATTGGTGCATCACCTGGTGAAGTTGTAGGAGTTGATAGTCTGTTACTGCCGTGGGGCACAACAGGTTCCGATTTCCTGGAGCCACCGGACGTCAAACAGACGGCAGGAGGGCTTCAGGATGCCTGGGACACCCTTCTTCTTGGCTCTTCGGTTGGTGTTGCGTCAGCACAGTCGTTGGCAGAGTTGAAACCGTTACCACCGTTCACAGGATACACAGGACATCTCAGTATCAATGGCATTCCTGGCCATCATTATCATACAATAGCTTCATCAGCGCAGCGACCAACGATGCAGTCGTCGTCCTCCCCAACCCCCTCGTCCAACCAAGAGTATTACGAGTCATCGGTCGTTTCGTCCAGCACCCCTTGCCCCCAGGCGAGTCAAAAGCATCAGCATCACCATCAGCAACAGCAGCAGCAGCAACAGCAGCAGCACCAACCGCAGCAGCATCACCATCAACCTCAACAATTACCCCAATCGACGCAACAAGTTGACTATGATATCGAGGACATTGCCGAAATAATTGGCTCGGCGATTGCTGATACTACTGTACCTGGAAGTAATAATGGCCCTGGCTCTGAGCACGATCCGGACGCCTCGAGAGACTGGATTGATATTGCCGAGTGGATCAATACAGCGTGCTCGCCCAAGGGTCACGAGACCTCATCGCCGAGTCCCTACCCTCAGATGTATACTTCGACAAATCCTGCGAGTCAGACACACCCGCACGGATCAACACTCCAGAGCCTCCTGACAACTGGCTATGCTCCATTGCTCCAAGCCAGACTCCAGGCTGGCAATACAAATATGCAAAATACCTCGTGCGGTGAAACCCCGTCATCAACGAGCCCCTATCCACCTGTTAGTCCGCCCGGTAGAGTATCGACATCGTGCAGTCCAGATCACTTGCTTCACTCATCATTCCCCGCGCCATCACATGCAAGAAAAAGATCTCGGCCAAATCCCTCCAATCAGAATCCCTCGAAAAAGAGTCCAGCTACTTCTGCCTTGGCCTATGGCACGGAATCGGGACTCATCGGAGGCAAAGAGAAACCTGTACACAGGTGTTCGATATGCAATCGAGGATTCCTCAATAAAAGCAATATCAAGGTTCATCTGAGAACGCACACTGGTGAGAAACCATTCAGGTGTGAGGTTTGCGGAAAGGCATTCAGACAAAAAGCACATCTCATCAAGCATCAGCAGATCCACAAGAGGATCGGCAGGGATTAAAGGAATATCAGTGATGTTAATTGTGCGTTCGCGCTTCATGAGCTTTAGAACCCCCCTCCCTCCCATCACAGTGGGATTCCGATCCAGTACGAGCCGAGCTCGTTTTTATCTGGGTAAAAACACCATTTCTAACTTGATTTCATTGTGCGGGATATTAAATCCCGCAGAGTGTGATACACATTCAGGGCACAACCAGGGTATGAAACCTTGAAGGAAATTTGACAAATTAATGCTGCGGTATGAACGCAAAAACGAGAATGGTGTTTGAAACAGCAAATGTGAGTGTTAGCATGTGTAAAGAGAAATATATATGATACGCCAGTGTTACTTAAATGCAGATGGTCATCATGCTCCTTGCTCTGCTTCAAGAGTCTCTATCGTGTACATAATTTATCGATGAATTCTACGTACTTCGAGATAAGGTTACCATGTGCCGGTAATTATTTACGAGAAATTTCAAATATATTTATATTTTTCATGAAAATCAGTCGAGAAGCGTATTTTTTTTTGCTAGTAGTGTGGGATAATGCTGCATAAAAACGTTGGAGTTGTACGAATGGGACTCACAAGTGATTTGGTAGTATCTCCCAACTAATGTACCTAAAGAGTTCCCTTGTCACGTGCTTGAATATAGTTTTATTGTAGTAATTAGCTATTTTGTACTCTAACTTATGATATTTTTATTTTAAATGGTCATTTTTCAAGACCCCTTCTCCCATCCCCTTGCATAATTAACTTCCCGATAGGAAGTTATTATTATTTATTTTGTCACTTTCCTCACCCCATGATCTTGGCACTTGTCTTTTTTCTATTGTAAGATAGCTCATTATTCAATTCTACGCGTAGTTTTACACTTTTGCCTTCCCGTAACTCATGTTATAGCATTTTTTCTCGTAAGCTCTTTTGATTTCTCTCGGTTATTAAATGCCACCCTTTCTTTTCACTGCAACACGTCATGCTTGACCTTTATCACTTTATCCTGGAATTTTCGGGCAAATATACGACAAATAATTAGTGGCGAAATTTATTTACTGTTTTTTTTTGTTTCTTTTCATCTAATTTGAATTAACAAAGTAATACCATTTTTTTTCTTCTAAAAAGAAAATTTATTCGAGTATATTGTTACTTAGGAATTTTAATTATTTATTTGCGGTTACTCAGGCGGATGTGTTCTTTTGTAATTTTTTTTTCTCCCAATTGCAATTGTACAAAGTCTTCAATCTAAATTTATTTATGTATGCATATTTATGTCTGTTACCCTAAAGAACGAATAGATGAATAACATATAAAAAAAAATATGTCGATTGATCATGGCAAAAAAATGAAAAAACTCTGAATTTTATTATTTTCGTATCTCCTACTCTACCTAATTATCTTATTTATATGAATTATTTATTTTGGCGGTCTAGATTAAGTTGAGATTTATTGTTTTTGGTTTGCAAAACTACTAACAGAAGTGATGACGAAGATGAAGATAAAAATGAAATCAAGGCTGTGTTCTCTCCTTCCGATCAAGGGTGATCCACAGATCTCACATTCAACATGCCGCAGACATTTTCTAAGGGTGTTTGAAATTTCACTCTTTCGAATAATTTCCATTTCTCTTTCCTATCCATCGTCACCTAATTTTTGTAATTCTCATTAATTTCGGTACTCTTCTCAATTTCTCCCCTTTTATGTGCAAAAATGAAGAAAAAAAATGACAAGAGAAACAATATGACGAGCGCAATTATATATATTATAAATACATGGTACCTAGCGTAGCTGGCTACGCAGTTTCTTTATAGTTTATGGATGACGATAGCAAAGAAAATCTTATATCTGAACTAAAAGAAAATCAAAACTGTGGACACTAAAGTATACGAACTTCACATCATGAACCATAAAAATAAAACGCGCATGACTGGAACAGTTGCGAAGAGATGTCTTTAAAAGAAATATCAAAAATAAAGCGAAGAGGATTAATAATGAATCGCAGTATTCTATTTATACTTAATATAATTAATTACTAAGCTAGACTAGTAATTTTATAATTCATTTGAATTATCAGCATAAGGACAAAAAAACAATAATGTGAATCTGTTGTTAATAGTTTTTTCACGGTGTTATCCCAATTTACTTGTCACTATTTTTTTATTATACAACGATGCCTGTTAAGTATTCGTTTTCTCGTCTCATTTATTCCTACTCCACATTTTTCAGGATTCACCGAAAATGAAAAAGGGTGAAGGGTGTCGTTTCCAAGTAATGACGGTGAAAAAAAAAAGAATAGAATTCACCTGTAGAAACGAGAAAAAGACCAGTTGTCTCTGTAGAGATAGGCCCGAGCTAGGCATCCAGCCTTTTTTTACCTCCACTGTGGCTTGTGTATACCTATATACCTCACAGCCGCAGAGGCCAGTGACCCAAATTTTTTGGGGCGCCCGATTCTGCCGGTTGATGCTGTGGATCCAAGATGTAGCGGGATCGCTGTGGGAAATACTCCCTGGATTTTTATTTTTATTTTACTCCGACTGGAGAGTCAAAAAACATCTTCTTATTGTCGTCGCAGCGATACTCTTGAAAATATTTAGCTAGTGTACGACACTGCAGACTCGAAGAGGAAAAAAAAAATGATGAAGAAAGAAAACGACCACAATGGTTATTTTACAAATATACACCTTGGAAAAATTTTTTTTCTTTCTTTTTTCGAGTGGACGTTGAAGCATATGGTTGGTGGCATTCGTGTCTCGAAGAAAGTCTTTCACCGGTACCCAAGCCACGAGGCGAACTGATCGCGTGGACGATGAAGGATGGTAAAGGAAGGGGGGAAAACGAGGGAGGCGAGATGTAAAAGGGGAAACGGACGAACGTTGGTATACTTGCTTGGTACCAGGCACCGATGTGTTCTACTTACATGGCACACTTACTCAGTCTGCCTTGGTGCGCTTCAGGATCCTGCTGGCGGAGTCTTTATTCCAACAGAAATCTTCCAACTTTAGCATTCAAGTTTATGATTTACTCCTTCTCAAGTGCATGGCAATCGATGCTTCATCTTGTAACTTTGAAGTTTCAAGCGATAATTCTCCAAGTGTAATTATTATAATTCAATAGAACTCGAGTACTTGATCAAACCCGGAATTAGGAATCTGGTACAAATTCAATTGATTGAAGATTGACCCACTTGCGAGGCAAGTTTTGTGGGAATGAAATGACAGACTGATAATTAAAAAATTTCGTAAATTCCATATAGAATAATTAAACAACGTTTGAGGATGTGAGCGTTACGATTCACACAGGCTAGTTTTTTATGAGGGTATCTTTTCTCAATGAAAGTATCCGCAAACGCCTCAAGTGTGTATGTATCCTCGAGGTAGTGGGGGGGCATGCACTTGTCTACCCCATACCAAGCAACGAGATTCTTCATTCCCGTGGTAAAGTTCCCATCATCACGATTATTCTTTATGCACTTCTTTTTATTCTCTCATTATCTTCTTCAAACGCAATAACCAAGTTATGGTTGAAATCCAATAAATTATGAAACACATAGTTCTCTTTAATTTGACACATTTTCCAATGGCTCTTTAATCCGGCAATGCAGCTATCACGCTTCAAGTATGAGTTTCTGTGGGATTCACCCTTATTAAAAATTTGAAGATAGAAAGACATTGAGTATTGGCGCAGGGATTGAGATGACCCTTCAATGATAATGCTCGACCTTTGCATGCCACTAGAACGATCAGGGCATCAACATCATCCAATGCCGGTCTTGTATTGTATACGATAGATCCCCATGGGGGACAAATCCATTGAACCCGTGACATTCAATAGTAGGTCAAGCCTTTTAGTCTGCCTCACTCCTTCCAACCATTCAGGATCAAGGCAAATTCAGCCTCTTTTTCTCGCAACGAGACTTGTTCAGTTGCAATTCCATTAATTCAAAAATTTGTAAAATTGAATTGGGGGCAAAATTCGTCAATGAGGAGGAATAAATTTGTTTCCAAGTGTCGTTGAAATAACGTGAAAAATAATATTTCTTTTTCTTCAACTGGGCGGAACTCTTTGCATGCATGAACTAATGGAACGTGCAAGGCGTCGCGACTGGCTTAACGATCAGCTTCGATTTCTCTTGGCACCGTAACTCGCGCACACAACTGGAAATTTTTAACATTTTCTGAATTTTCTTTTCCCCCGATAGATCGACAAAATCAACCGATATCCCATTAATATCCTTGCGGGTGACAAGCACTGGTGCGGGCAAATCGACTCGCCGACGAGTACAGAATAAGGATAGACGTATATTTGAGTAAGCGCTGCCTCTCGCACCTCCGATGTAGGACCTTGTTTCGTGACCTACATAGAGCAAGGCCGTTACACTCACGATGCACTGGTATTGGTGTCTCAACGCTTACAGCGTGATGCTTGGAATATCCTTGTGGATAGAGTAACTTGCACGGGATCCCACGGAAATACTAATACTACTATTCCTTTATTCATATCTCATACAATCTGTGTATCAGTGTATGGGCTGCACGTGAGCTTTCTTGCACTGACCGCTTATCGCGACATAGCGACTCAAGATTAATGATACCCCCTGTTATTATCACCTTTTCCCTTCCATCTTTCATAGTCAAAGCACCCTAATCAGTTAATCATAGCATTATTTTTATTATGCTGTTGGTTGGCTCATTATAAAGAAGGAGAATTATACTTTCAGAAGAAAAAAATTCCGTCTAATCAGAATTCCAATGAATTATTGAGATTGAAAAAAAGTATCGAGCGTCAATTTTTTATTCCATTCGCTCCTACACTGAGAAAAAAATCTTACGCCAAGATATTTTATATTTGTCCGGAAGATGAGGGCAATTGGTTCATATCGAGAAAACGAGTTCTCAAATCAATTCAAGTGGTTTTTGCATTTAATTAGTTTAGGATTGAGGCTAAAAAATTATTAAACGAATTAATTCAATTTTACTTGGTTTGAGAAATTGCTTTCTTGTCATCAAGAAGTTGCCCTCGTCTTTAGGACAAGTACAAATTTTTTTAGCGAAAGTTCTTTTTTAGCGCAAGATATTTTGCTCCTGAAAATTTTCAAGACACGAGCTTCTTGATATAAGTAAAGACGTAGGGGAGGGTGGGGTAAAATGGACACTAGATTTTTTCTATTTATTCATAACTCAGAAACAGATTTATCAATTGAGTTCAGTTTAGGCTCGTCATAAAGGGAAATAATTGTTCTTTGTATTGAAAAAAAAATTACTGAATTTTATCAACATTTCAACCCCTTATTAACATTTAAAAAAAAGTCAAAAGTGTCCGTTTTACCCCAACGTCCCTTCCTAGGAGAAGTTATAGAGGATTTTTTTTTTCCAATTCTTGAAGTTTAGAGAGATTTCCGGCAAAATTTCAATTCCCCGAATTGTCCAAGTGGACAGACAATGGTAACGGTTCCACGGATATATGTAAATACACGTGGATGACGAGAAGAACTTGAGAAGGATATCGAGTAAAGAGAGATACTGTGTGGGTGCTACATGGCTTTTTTGTAGGTCATACATGTATTCCTACACGCATTCAACAAGAACATACATTCTCGAATAATGACTGCATTGCTGATTTCATACACACACGTGCAATTGCAACTGGATGCAGGAGAATTCAAGCTGCTTCGCACAAACATACCTTGATCTTGATTCAGTGTCTTGGCCATCTCCTTCGTAATGAGGCTTCCGCTTTTAATCCCCTTTTCCGTCTAGAAAAAGTTGCATCACGCACTGTGAATAATGCCTCTTATTTGACACTTTTAACTGGACGGTCACTGTTAGAGACCACTTGTTGATAAATCCATTAATCACGCGCACTCATCGAGTAACTCTGGATTTTTTTCCGTCGGAATATGGGACATTGACACATTTTGAGGTCCTTTTTGTCGTGGCAAATTAAATTTGATAGAAAGGGGAGGGAGTGTGAGGCAAAATGGCCTCTTTAGATTTTTTAAATGTTAATATTTCGTTGGAAGATTTATTTTTACTGTGACTTATTTATTTTTAGTAGACTGAAGTCAATTTATAAATTCATCTTGGAATTATGAACCTTAAAAAAAATGTCTGAAGTCTCCATTTTGCCCTGCTCCCCCCCCCCCTCAATACTCACTTGGACATTTCAGTTTCAAGCAATGACGAAATGGTGTAAAAGGAAATATTGAAAAAGCTTGAGGTATGCTGTACACCCCACGTGAGTGTTATTGAATTATAAAAAACCTCCAGATTAGCGTGTAAAACATCTTGTGTATCAATTAATGATGAATCTAACGATCTGACCACCGGCTCTTCTCGAAATCCTATCGGTCCGCGCGTGTGAGAGATCAACAGTAAAGGTTAGAATAAAAAACAGTGTAAGTCAACTATCGAATGAACTTTAACACGTGGAGGAGTTTATCTGAAGGGTGCGAGGGTCTTGATTCGCTTTTGTTCCGTACTACATCGCGTTTATCTCCGCCAAGGGGTTCTTGTTTACATTTCAAAATGCTCGAAAGAATCACTTTTACTGACCGACCTAGTGCCGTGCGCCATCTGTGAGGATAAGTCTCAGTTTTTCTCTGGTAAGTGCAGCGTATTATTCAGGGGGTTTGAATCCCAACTAAGTGTCGTGACGAATAAAAGAAAAGGAATGAATCGTTTAAACTTCAGTGTGAGAACAACAGCAGAAATCAATATGCAGTGTTTGGAGAGGTTTATTTTGCGGAGCAATTACGTTTTGGGGAGAAAGGTATTGAAAGAAAAAGCCTTTTTAACGTAAAATATTTCTAATATAATTCTGATCTGGTTTTTAATTGCAGTACAAGTATTTTAGATTCGATCTGGGAGAATCCACTAAATTTGCTCATTGAAATTTTCACTCAAAACCATAAAAATATCTTCACTGAATTTCAACAAACAATTGACCCTATAATTGCGAATGTTTTAGGTACTGATTATTCATTCTCAAAGAGAGAAATGGCAATTCAATGTGCACGGTTAGAGATAATTTCACAGATTTTTCAAATTCGCAGCGAGTAATTTGTACAATAAATTATTCCGTGAAAGAGACCAATTGTCCATTGCTCAATTCCACAATTGAAGTGCCTAAATCGAGTTCACCGAGAGAGCGTTCACGAAATGGACCGACAAACTAGCAACCATCCATTATGATAATACAACACCATTGTCTATCGGAGAATAATGAATATTTATCAATTTAATATTTTCAATAATTCAAAGATCTCCCAACATATATCGTACACATTGCTTGTCTACATTACACATCTAGAATGAATGTTCATTTAAATAACATCACAAATTCCCTTTTTTCCATCAATTATAAAAAAACAATTATTATAATTCCTTCTTACCGATAAATATATAGTTGCCAAAAGCTTTGGCCTAATATACTCCACATTCATCGAAAATTACCGTTTCTCTTTCCATCGAATATAGACACTAACACTGATATTGATGAAAATCCATATCAGACGACATCAATGCAGATTGGTCCTTCTATACTCTATTGTAAAGGAAAAATCTTATTTTACCGAGTCGACAGATAGATATCGAAGCGGACTAGTTGTCTCCCCCTCGAGGGCAATCATAGAGCAAGATCTTCCGAGTATAATAGACATTGAACTCTAAAATCTCGTCAATTAATTCACTCGATTAAGCTGATCAACTACATGAAAAATCAAACTCTGACCCCCTGTTGTGCGAGCAGTTGTTTCCTCTGATGCAGACTCGGTGATTCACCGTCATAATCAATGCCTGTGGCTCTCGTATCATCAAAAGACTTCGACTTGAGCGTATTGAGAGCTTTCAAGCACGAATTTGTTGACATTTCAAGGGACTTTGAGCTCCTCAGTGACGCATTAGCAAGTTTCTTGATGGTTTCTGATATTGGACATTTGATGAAATCTACTTTTTCACGATCCTTCGGACATCTCTGAAGATTTATATCATCGGACTCCTGAGCGTTGTCCTTGCCATCCGGCTTACTGACTTCTGGAGATTCTTGATTGAGCTTCAGGGGGACATCATCGGTTCCCTCGTCGGCGTGACCTGAGGAAAGTGTTTTTTTCACTTCCCCCCTGTCAAGCAATGAATTTGGTGGTGCCTCGACGTATCCGCTCTCATCACTGTCTGCCTCCTCTTCGTCCAGCGAATCGAGTGTGAGGAAGGACTCCTCACCCTCTAGCAACTCATCTCCTTGGTCAATTCTAGTTGGATATTTTTCGCCTTTCACATCCATTCGTCTTCTCCCTGGATTCTCTATCCTCGACGGACTTTCACCGCGAGGCCGGTAGTCAACGACCTGGGGGGGAAAAAATTCTCAATAATTTCATAATATTCCAAGTGAAAAATTCCAAATAACCCGGTGTAATTACCTCATCAAATACCTCTGCATCCTCAAAGTCGAATACATGTGAAGATTCAATTTCTTCCTCCTCAATGTCCTCCTCAGTTTCGTCAATTTCACTCCTGCAGGAGGAATACCGTTTTCTTGTCCCTCTGATGCAGTGAAATCGTGGACTTCCGGCGCAGGTCATGAAGTTTGGTGAACCTTCGGAATTTCTTCTAGGTCCTACGCCGGATGTTGTCCTTATAACGTCACCGGCGAATAGTACTCGCCTACCATTTCGTGAGTCATTCTCCACTATCGCCTGATTATCATCAGCCCCTGATGCTCTTTCCTCACTGTTCGATGTGCTCGCTGTTTCACATCCGCTCGAGATACTTCCATTCTCGTCCAAGTAATCGCTCGAGGCGCCGGCACGATTCAGTGCATCAACAAGACGGGCCAATCTCCAGCCGTCCTGATCCTGCCAACTTCGCGCTACATTCTCGAGTGACCTACAAAAGGGATTATAATTTTTCCTGCCATGTGCCATAAATTCTCTTCCCCCATTTTTTTTTTTCATCAATCAGTGTCATTCAGTAAATTTCAGCTTAATTATCGTCGTAAAAAGAATAATCGAACGAGTAGAAGGAAGAAGGAATACCTGAGCTCCTCGAGCAATCGTTTCTGTTCAATTTCCTCAGCAACAGCATCCTCCTCGATGGCTGATAATTTTGGTGCACTCTTTGATCTCTCCAATGGTGGCCTGTAATTCTGACCCCCCGTACTGAGCAATATTTTCCTTCTCGGAAGCGATGGATTCTCGTAGACTGCATTTGCAAGAGAGAGTCTGAAAGAAATTTCCCCAAAAATTATAATCACGAGATGCTGGAGTAATTTCTTCAAGGATGCAAATTGAGCCTGAATGAGGTACAACCGAGATACAAACGATCGATACCCTCACGACCCAATTCGTGACTTGATGACCATAAGAATTCTAAGACCCCGTGGCTTCGTGTTTCGAATTCACAATTTACTTACAATTCCCTCGACCCCAATATAAATACTCGGCTATTCAACACGAAATACCCGGTGAACAGGAGAATTTATTGTTTCAGCAGTATGGAAGAAGATATGAATAGTTTGAATCGAATTGAGAAAGGCTGCAGTGAATAAGAAGCAATAGTAGAAAAGACTCACCTGGCATTTTGCCTTGAAACCTTGTCCCTACGGAATTCAAGTAACGCCTGTTGTAATCTAGCATTCAAGGTCGAGGCAAGTCTTCTTGCGGTAGATTCCTTTGAGCACAGAGCAGCGTGACATCTCAATTCTGGCCTGAGTCTGCGACCCTCGTGTCGATACACCCAAACAAATAAACGTGGATGGGATACTGGTGCTGTACAGTATGTAACACGATGCGCCCAGTATTCGGTGAGTCCGTGATCCTTGGTAGTGGCCGTCAATCCCCCATTCGTCACCGTCAGTCTCATCGTCACGTCCGGCCTATTGCTGCTCACGTAATTACGCCACAAGGTTGATACTGGCTTCTCAACGCAGCCCTCGCCTAATTGATAGACAAAGCAAACTTTAATTACGTCAACTCTCTAACGCATCTTGACAATAATTTGCTTCCTCGTTGAATGCGTTATATCCTCTAATCAATTAAATACTTGGAGACGAAAAAATGGTGTTATGACGTCTAAAAAGCAAGATACTTGGCGGCCAAGTAAAACGTACAAGTCCAACGGTGCAAACGGCGCCTACTTGACATTTAAGATGCAAAAGACTTGCGGAAAGTGATTGAAAGAAGTCTTTACGCAGTTGAAATGAAAAAAAAGGCCATTAGTCTCCTCTCGATTGATTTTTTCCCAATCGAATGACATAGACATATGCCCAGGGCAAATGACAATGACGACACTCGTGAATTTCGCCGTTTACAATTGCTAACTAGTGACCTGGTAATTCATTTCTGTGAAGCCCAGTGTCGTTCTCCTTATTCCTCAATTTATGACGGTGAAATGGTTTTTCTCAGTGCATCAATTCATATATGACAGCAGACGATAAATTTAATCAATTGCTCGGGTAAAACACGATCGAGTAGAGGCAAAAAATACGTTAACAGAGGGGTCATGTTTGTATGATCTCTCTTAATAACCTACTGGAAATTGGCAATAAAAAATTGATGAATTTACATTGATGACATCAATTTGCACAATCTCGTGTGATTTTTTGTCAATCAATGCTATATTGTGAGACTAGATTTCTAAGCGTTGATTGAAAATCTCAAACGGTCTCATAAATATGCGGCAGGTGTATTTCATCCAAGCCACGTTGCCAGAGCATGTTATATTTAGGATATTTGTGCGGATATAATTTTAGGACTGATGTGGAAAATAGAATTTTTGGAAATGACAAAATTAATGCCACTAACTCATCCCAGGAAATTTCTAGTGGCTCCAATATGAGAACGAAGGGAAGAAATAGAGATCGTCATCTACGTGGGAGGCATGGGAAAATGAACGGTAGAGGAGCGAAGCAGGAGACGATAGTTTGTAAGCTTCTCCGTGGTCTTTTTCCAGGAAGAGAATTAAATCACCCGGCTAGTCCGCCTGTTCTCTTCCTCTAGCTAAAGAGGAATTGCAACGGACAACATTGGGTATACGAACGAAGCGTGCGAGTATCGGTACTTTAGCCCCAGTACATGTGGGGAGAGGCGCATAAATAACAAAGGATTATGCAATTTAGCCTTCATTTTTATTTTTTTCTGCGCTATCCTTTCCAGACATATCTTTAATAAAAAATTGATAAATCGATTACATGCGTTTGGAGAGATATGAAACCACCACTCAGCACGTCAACTCCACCGAAAAGTTGCACGATTGCCAAATCTCAAGTGTGGAGGAGAGAAAAAATATCTTGACGAGTCCAACTAACACAAATCGGAAGTACTATTATTTTCTCCTCGATATTCAACAGACCGAATAGGAGAAAGGTTGCACGAACCGACAGCTCTCTCTCGTTTCGGCTATTGAACACTTTAAACGATCAGAAATAGAAACTATACGAGATGATTCCAGTGACAAATGTCCTAGCTCCTTATCACGTATTTCTGCATGTTTTTCCCTTTTTTGCTTTTGCATTAACATGTAGATTCATATCGCGTCGAATTGATATGTCAATGTCAAGGATTTGGCCCTGAATTTATTCAGAGAAATAGTCTGACCTTGGACACTTCAGAAGGGAGCCCTTCATTGGTGCAATATTTTGGTATTTATTTACACAACATTGGATGTTTTTAGATGATTCTACATCATCAATCCTCCGCGGAAAAATGTCATAGCCAATAAGCGTGATTTTTTTCTCTCCTATGAGATAAGGCAATGGGCCACATTCGCCAAAAAAATTTCAAAGCTGCAGAATGCATTAAAAGTTTTTATTACACTGGTAGAAGAGCGATAAGAATAATGTTCGGCTCGAGGCGACGATGCAGTCGACATTCACCATTTTTTTCATTTATATACATCAGCATCATCAATCTAGCTTTAATAATCCCTTGCTAAGACTCGAAAGCAAAAACTTTATTACCAATTATTTGAATTTCTCAGCTCACCAAGTACCACAATCAATGCATAATTATGCGGTTGATAATGAAAACATTAGAAGAGAGTGAAAAAGTTGACTCTATCGAACAACTTTATCCAGGAAGTCAATTCGAGAATCGAACGTTATGCGGATAATCGCGCGATGAGGATAATCCGCATTATACGTACTGTCGAATTGCAAGGCAGATCGCAATCATGAACTCTCCGGGAAAAAACATACTTGTAAATTGTTTTTCTCTCTCTCTCCGATAAGTATGGAACTGCACTGAACTGGAATTAAGTGCTATTAATAACCTGGCGATCATGCAATGCATTTCAATGGCAAAAAAACCTTTTATTTACCACTTCCAAGTCATAATATAACAAGAATTCCAATAATAGAATAGTTGTTATCTCTTGCTCACGTAAAATCGATAAATGAATCCATTTTTCTGATTGCCCGATTAGATGATCTTGACGATTGACCGGCCGACTTGGAGTGAGTCCTCGGGTATTTATAATGAACGGAAATCACCAGATGCATTGACAACTCTTTGAAAAATGAAGAGTGATGCGTTAAAGTCCCAGGCCACTCGAGTATTTATAATGCGAAAAAAAGACAAAAATATGTAATTATAAAAATGAATCGTCAGAGACGAAGGAAAAATTTTAATAAGAAGAAGGACAGTGAACCTGCAGTCACGCGTCTGCGAAATCACGAACATCGGGCAATTGATAGAGATGATTAAATCTCGTCCTCTTTAATTCCGTATCCTAGCTGAGAATTCCATATCGTGGGGACTCGACGTCAGGTCACCAAATAGAATTAATCAACCAAACGAGATGTCTGCAAATGGACGTACCGTAATAATGGTGTGTATGATTAAGGCCGCCTTGGCCTCAGTCGTGTCAACGTGCGTGGTATGCAGAGAAAGCAGAGATGGCAAAAGGCTTCGTACATATTTGCTTTATTGTTGCAAGAAAATTTTTCTCTACTCGCGCATGAAAAATTATTTTTGTATTTTACCTGTTCTAGGCTTTTTCGCCTATAAAGTTGGAATTTTTTGAAATTCAAGTAATTTTTAATTTTGTGAATTTGAAATCAAATCGTTTATAAAATCTACTGGCGAATTTGAAAATTCAAGAAAATGACGTTTTTCGTGTTGGGCGATCATTGATATTTTAATGACAGCTACCATTCTCAAACTCATTGTGAAAATTAAATATCATATTAAATTCAATTTTTAATGGATTGAAAGTTGCCTGACTTTTGACAAAATTTTCAATAATTTTTGCTGTCATGTAGACGCGAAGATTGCAATTTCGTCGAATACTCCAGAATTTAACAGATTTTTCAGTCACAAAATACATGATAATTACCCGTAAATGAGTGATTGTTAAAAATTTCAAGATTTTTTACTTGAAATTTCATGAGTAATTTTTTAACCGTGTAAAGAAGCGCATGTAGGGGTGGGACACCCTTAAAGGAGATATTTCCCCCCGATCTATGGATAATCTATCCTTCTTTGATGTAAATCATCCGTAGAATGCGACTATCTCATTCCCTAGACGAAATAAATGCGTGAAATGCCGTCTAGAAAAAATTTTTTCGAGTACACACAATTCACTTCTGTTCTGTGAAAAGTCAATTTTGTCGTAACAATCGCTTTGTGTGGTCGGGGTGAAGCAGTAAAATAAACGTAAAGATTGCAACAGGAGAGTCTCACTGTTGCGGGTTATTTGACAGATCAATGATCCCTGGGATTTCAGATGGGGTAATAAGAAACTGGCCTTGCTCTGTCATCTTCCATAAAAGGGGGAGGTCTCGGTCGCGACTCGATACTCCTACAGTGCAAAGGGTATTGTCACTTCATTGTGGATGGAATGACTGGAAAACCGTGGAATGTTGCATTTGCAATTTAGCCGATAGTCCAAACCGTCAAAGCACAATGGAAACAAAAGAGGAGACCGTCAATTGATGAAAATAATTGATGCGAATACTGACGAATAATTAGCCATCCATCTACGCATGACATGGCTCAGATACATGCAAGGAATCGGGCTTGCTTAGAATTCTCAATTGCAAAGTTAACTTCTCACTTCCGGTATCCGCAGGGGCGTCGTCTGATTTTCAATCATCAGGGACAGGAATTTACATAGGAATCGACAGGAGAGAAACTGACAGATCCGTGTACGATTAACGGCTTCGATTACTGTTGCCGACTCTATTGGACAAATACTGACCTCCATGTGGTCTTAAAACTTATTATTCACGTTTCAATTTCTCTGTTATTGCTTTGTTCTTGGTTATCAGCGCATTGTGTTTTTTTTTGCGAGGAATATAACAATGTTCAATGTCAGCGAACGGACTTGACGATGTTTACACGATTTTTTCGCAAATCGATTTCTTTCGTGTGTGACAAAAAAAGCGCTTCCTTTTCTGGCTGATATTGGAATTGCAGAATTACTGGTTATGCACATACACAACACATGGAAAACAAATATTAGCGAAATAACTAGCAACAAGGTTGTGCATATTCTGAATTCACCTTTACCTCAGTCATAAAAAGTTTAAACCAGTTATTGACATAAAAGCAATCTTGTAATAGTCTGGAATCGAGTGAAATTATATCAGAATGAATGTATTGCATGTTGAACTGACCTTTGGCCCATCCTGTGAGTACGTTTCCGAGATATGCGACCTTGTATGAAGGGTCGTATTCAGTTATCGAAACATTGCCCTGGTGTCTTTTCCACAATTTTCCAAGTCCTCTCTTCAAGGATTTGAGGGTTCTGTGGCCCAACTCTTTACCACCAGAGCTATGATAATTGGAGTCCTCAGCTGAGTCCTCCTCCACTGGAGCAGCCACAACATCACCCATTGTCTTCATCTCGACTATTATTTTCTCACAGATCTGTTCAGTCTTTATTTTTCCTTCAGATTGGATCTCTCTGCGTAAATATTCAGACTTTATTCTGACTCGAGTCAATTACAAAGCCAATCATCGCAGGTTTCTCATTGATTACTACATGGCAATTTTCAAATAGCTTGAAAATATCATCAACTTATTGTAGAGTTCACTTGGGATGAAACTTTGTCCTCTTTTAGTTGTGCTTGGATACCATTTTCCGCAACTTATGGCTATCTGAAACCCAAAAGGAGAAAACATTGGAATAAATCAAGTTGTCCTCAATTTAATAGCACTGGAAGTGCCCTTTTTTGTCGGTTTTTTGCGGTATCCGGCAAAACCGCGTCTTATCGCAACTCCTCTAAAAAATTCCCGTTCTATTTTCCTCTTCTATGACGATACGTAAAATATTAACAAATACACACAATAACGTCTCCCGAAATGTTTGCCGTCCCCCTGACGACCTTATAGGTCTGAATTTGCTCAAAAAATATAATACGTGAGAGATGTCCTTCAGTCTCGCCAGGGTCACTCCTCTACGTGTTACGAATGTATTCGCTGGCCGCAATAAAACGATCGAATTTAATGCTCAAACCGCGGCCTAAAATTCTAAAGACTCTCGCGTACGTCACAGCTTTAATCTCAATGAGAGCTGGATACAGGCTAGCTAATCGATCGATATAAATATTATAATGAATGTTAAATCAATCATTGGGTGTAGATATTTCTTGTTAAACTACAAAAAAATCCCTCCCATTTGCTTTGCTCTTTTTCTTTCACCTTCGCTTACGTAAAAAAATGATTAATAGCACTGATTTAACTTCCAGGGATCAAACGAGCTCCGATTTAGGGATAATATATGGCATTAGATGTTTCCATAGTGTGTGTCACAGTCAATTGACTTTCATTAAAAATTTCCGTTCACTGTTTAACGAGATGTTTTGATTGAGACAATTAATCCACTAAAGAAAGCGAAAAGTGCTGATATAAAATATTCTACGATTCATTTAATTTTCAACTAAATCATTAAATTTTTATTCCACACACAGTGATACTGTGAAACGTTGCAGTTTGTACCCCATTTTGCAGTACTGAAGTCGCCAGAAAGGGTTGAGAATAACCACCCCTCTTGCGTGCTATTATGGCATAGATCTTGATCATGCAATTTCACCGATAAGAGCTCCACGTGTGAAGAGTTGGGATTGTGCAGCAAAAAAAATTGCTGAGTCGGCAAAAAAAAAAAACGTGTAATTGATGATATGAAATGGACAAAAAATCGTTTGGATGATTGAGCGTGCATCAATTACAAATACAAGCGCCCAGGTTAGAAAGAAACGTTTCTCCTTTGAACGAATGGCATTTGAATAATGAAGATGATTCGAGCACTAGGAATCCCGGCTTTATTGCTGGAATAAGTCAAATATAAGTATCGATGCAACTGGACATAAATTGCGCATTCATAAATTTTTTTCACACCCCAATCAGTAATTCCTCGATTGATCGGAGAACGAATGGAAATTCAAGGAGCTTGCAAATGGCACAAAGTGATGGATCTTGTGATTGCATTCCTCGAACAAATTAACCAAGTACAACACGTGTCTCGTTAATATATCGTGATGAAAATTTAGTTTGATGATTTTTGAATAGCTTTTTAATATCGATCGTGCCCCGAAACGTGCCTAAGTATATACTTCTCATACAGTTGTGAGTCCAATCGTTAGTTTTAGATTCTCCTACAACTCGTTTTTAATAATACAGCCACCAAATTCCTAAACAGATCCCCTCATAAGCTTCACGTCATTAGAGACTCTTGAAATAGTCGCCAATGTTCCCTGCGCAGTTCCAACAGTTACGAAAAACATTCTTCCAAGTCAATAAAGATTATTGAAATGAGAATACTTCTCTTTTCATGTAGGATTATGTCATCAGAACAATGAGGTACAAATGGAAAGACAGAAACACATTTCTGCTCGTGACATCGTCAGCAGTATTGTGCACACTCCCCCGTGCCTGATGAATTAATCGATTGAGGAAGTTAGATTGGTTAAGGCGAACAGTTTTGGAGATAAAAATGGCATTAATTCAAGGTAATCGTATTGAAGGGAATTAATTCACGTTTCTTCCGATTCTCGTCCCACGGGAATTCTGATGATCATTCTCACAAGACCCTAGAGTTGGTCCCACTCGTATTCAATGAATTTTCATGTTAGAGAGGACAGCATGATGAAATAACTCATTCGACATTTTTTATTCTGATTGGGCGTAGTTTGAAAGACGATTCCTGCAATTAATATCTTTCCTCGTGTGTCGAGGCTTTCCAAGACTTCCTGGGAAGGCGTAAAAAACTGATGGATGCACGTCGATTATACTTAATATCATTAGCCCACAGGGGTCGGTTCTCAGAGAAATTCTCCCTGAAAGGACATCCCCGGAAGAAAAACCCCAAAAAATCTGGGCTATACCCGCAGGCTTGTTCCTAGATGTCGTACACGCAAAGCATAATCAATTGATTTTCCTCAAAATAAAAATAAAATAAAATATTCACTGGTATCATTAGGTTACTGCGCTCTCATCCGTATTTTATGAAAATTACACCTGGAATTCCGCATAAACCCGGTAATACCTGCAATTACGAAAAATGGGACAATACTACGAGGAAAATTACCATTTGAAATATGAGTATTGCGCATGCACTCACGTCCCAAATGTTTTTTATTTATTGATTTGTTTATTTATTACATATTGAATTCTTCGTTTATTCCATGAATTTCCATCGGCAATAGAAGTGAATTGCACAGTGATTGCAGTATGTAACGATCCCTGATACACAGGTAAAACACCGGTGCTCCACATGAAAGCGCCCGGCGAAAGTTTCACCGAGTCAACGGCCTGTGTGTGAGCTCTCCTTGAATGCCGGTTTGTACAGACTTTTTTTCCACACCGGTTCTCTTCCGACCATTGCATATACAACCGGAGATCATTTCTTCTTACTCCGCGTATTTCATTTTTCCATACCTCGAAATATATTAACACAGTTTTCAATCCATTGGAATATTGCATGGAAAGAAGGCAACTGATGGCGAGTTTTTGCCGCCAAATAACAATGCTACGGTCTCAATTATTGGGATCGCAATTGCCATGGGTTCGATTCACGACGCGTAATACAATAAATTATGCAGTCGTATCAGGTGTATACGCAATCGTCGACGAGGAAAGAACACCCGCAACGACTGTCATCACGATTTTCCTCGATAATTCTTCAACAGCGGTTCAATTATATTGCGTTACTGGATTTCGAGTTGGAAATAGTCAGGAAAAATTGGCAATTTCAAGAATGACGTGCACAATAATTCTATGGAAAGTTGGAATCACGTTCCAACATTGTATTTTCCGCCGGCAAATGAATAACCATCAATTATCCATCACACGAGACAAGAAAGATTGATCACCTTCAAATATCCATCACTGGAGATGGATTTGGCAACGATTAGTTGTCCCTGATATACGACTGATAGACATGTGACGAGAAACCCTAATAATTGTTTCCTGTCAGGTGTGTATGAAGACCGGTAATGTATGAGAGAGGAAGGAGGTAAAGGGAACGAGCGATGAGTACCCCAACGATGCTCGCACATTCCCGTCAGGTGGAAATATAAGACACGTATTTTCTTAAACGGAAATCGGCGGGGGCATTCGCCAGTGAATGAAAAATATTCTCAATGAGTTGGAATTTTTTAATTCACCGGAAATACCCTCCGTTTAGCAATATCTTGGTAAATATGAGTGATAACGCAAGGAGTGGTGAACAGTGCAGAACAAATTCAGCCTTCCAGTTGTTGCATGGCCTTCTGAGCACAAATTATTGAGTGTAAATTCTGCAGATACAGCCACCACTATTTCCACCAGATTTCATGAAAGGTAGAGGAGAGTGGGACAAAGTAAGCATTTCAAACGTTTTTTTTATGTTAATGACTCATTGAATTCTCTATGAAATGGGGCAATTTTGTTTTCAATAGAAAGTACAATTCTTTGAGAGCTCCATTCATCCATTTGTCTCTGCATTACAAGCATTAAAAGAAATGTCAAAAGTGTCCATTTTGCCCCCACCCTCTTCTACACACACATGGTAGACTTTAATTGATTGAAAATCACCTGTGAAAAACAGGTAGCCAAATATTCCGAACGATTGCGTTGGCTTAAGTAACGCTTTCGTTTGATAGTTCGCGAGGGAGATGCTGAAACGAGCAATGAAATACGAGGAAAAAAAAAAGTGGCATTCCAGTGGCATTTCCAGTGTTTCGCCGACAAACTCTCTACCAGTGTTTTCCGACGTCTCACGACACTTTCACAGAGATCCTGTCGTTGGTAAACGATCCGTTCTCGTATATTTACACAGTAACCATTTCCGTACTTTTTCCATGATTCTTTCATTCGTTTTTTTCCATTCCTTTCTACAATAGCCGTAACTCCCCGGGCCCTATACAACTATTTTATGTACCGCTCAGTGGATTTACAATTCAAATTGCAATCTAGTGTAGCGAGTTACAGAGCCGTTAATAATACATTCTATTCTCCCCAATATCGGTAAAATTGTTATGTGAGAAAGGAAAAATCAAGAGCCCCTTGGAATGACAAATTGATAATGCTTGCGAGGTAATAATTTACTACCTGTTTGGTTTCTGGACTGTACACTCATTTGTCACGTCCCCCCCTGAATAAGAAAGGAAAATTAGAAAAGACGTCACGTGGAGTCACTTACGTGATTGCGGAACGCATCTAGCGAAAGTGTCGTGAATTTTCACATACTCTCCATTTTCATCCTTCATTTCTCGATTAATTGAACGCGGCTCTGTGTATACCCTACACCCGACTGGAGGTATGAAAACTCGGCGCATATAATATGCTAGGAACTACTAGTGAGCCGTTGCATATTAGTTCACCGAAGTTACAGGAGTGGAGCCTATTAGTCATCGTTGAAACAGTCATTTCAGCATTCAAGCACACATAGCCGTCTGCCATTGAAAATTGTTAATTGAAAATCCGATGAAATTGATGTACCTCTGGGCCCGCAAAATTATAATAATTCACATTGAAGATTGAGCGATTTATTCGGAGTGTAAAAATTCAGGGAAAGAGTCGGCAGTGAAACCGGAATCTGTTTTTAATTCCCCGATATGAAGCGAAAAATGCGCAACACGAGGGAACTGTATCCCTCTTAGCGAATGATTCTCAGTTGT